GTTGTTTGAAGGTGAGTAAGTGAACCTCTCACTTCCTTAACTTACTTTGAATTCAGCCTTGTTCAGAGAGGTTTGGTGAGCCTGAGAGTACCTGTAAGAAATTATGCCCATAAGAAGAGGCATAGTGGCACAGTGCAAAGAAGTATCAGCATCTTGTTTTCGAGGACTTTTTTATATGCTTTCTATTTGGGAAGCTCAGACATATCTATTGCATTGGCCAAAAAATTTGTATTTTTTTTCATAAAATAAAAGACACTTTTTTCATTTTCACCAATCACTTTATTGATTTGGATATTTTGAGTATGCTGGCTATCTCCCGCATGGTAGAACGTTGATTGTTCTCAATTAATGTCTTAGTTTGATCACTATCAACTTCAACTGTTCTACCCAACTGTGGAACAGCATCCAGCAAGAAATCTCCAGCATGAAACTTTGCAAACCACTTTTGACACATTCAATCAGTCATAGCACCTTCTCCATACACTGCACGAATCCTTTATTTATTTATTTTTTTGTTGCATTTCAGGTGTGTTTATACCTTTCTTGAAATAATGAAGCATAATATGCCGAAAATGTTGTGTATTTTCTTCCATCTTCAATATTAAAATGGCTACACAAAAATTCACCAATCTTGATGTTTTTTAAAAAATGCATCATGATATGACAGCTGTCACAATGCAGCCTAACAAAACTGTTTCAAATAAAGTTAAAGAAAACTAAGTACTATTAGAGCTATCTTACGGAAAAAAACAAATGAACTTTTGGGCCAACCCGGTATATGAGAGTATAAATATCATATAATGCAGTATGATTCCAATGGCTACAATGTACAGAAAAGGTGGTCATATAAGCCTTTAAAAAGGAGTGCGGAAGTGAGCAAGGCCTTGAAGGATATTTAATCATGCTTTTGTTCTTCAGAATTTACTTGCTTTTTCATTATAAAAGTTATACACATTAGTGATGTGAAACTGAGAGAACAAAGTTAAGGAATAACATACCTAAATCCATTCTCTTCAGAGATAACCACTTTCTGAAATGTTTCTTCCCAAGCTTTCTCTCTGCATGTAGTCTTACACATCCATATTCCGGTGAGCACATTTTAGGTCTACAGCATTCCCAATGGTGTGATACTATGAACACATAGTCCTCTTAGGACTGTGTGATGCCTGTGGCCTTGTCTGCTTTTCCATTTACTTTTTTAGCCTGAATTCCTGGAGTGAAGTGACTGTTCATAAGTTATGTGTAGTTATATGTATCCATCAGTAGAATATCAGGGTGCTTGTTTACTCACACATTGGCATTATATATTTTTAGTCCCTTTATTCTTTGCCAAATCTATTCAAACTGTTCCCTTTACCTGAACTGTTAGTCTGTCTGCCTGGCCCACCTTCTCTGTCCATGTTGTCAGAGCTAACTCAGAGAAAGGCTCCTGTGACTTTCCCCCCGAAAATTGTCTTCTCTCTACTCACCACTCTCCACTGCGTCTTCGGCTGAACTGTTAGGTTCTTGCGGTCTTTGCTTCCCACCTGGCTGGAGCAGTGTGTAAACCACTCTCATCTGTCTTACTGGAGAGTGGAGAACTAGGGGGCAGAGGTGGAATCTGGGTCACTGTGGGGTCTTTGGACCCTCCCTTGGTAGTCTTTACCAAGCTGGGCCTTACGAAAAGGGACAGACCAGGTGAGGTGAAGTAGTGAACTTGGGGCTCCACTGTTCAGGGAAATGCTAGCCTAACTGCGTATACAAGAACACTGTATGAGCCAAAACAGCAGGTAAATCTGGGATAGGGAACCACAAACAGACTTGGCTGATGCACACTGGGAGCCCACAGACCAAGTAATAGCACTCAAGGTGTGTGGTCCCACAGCTGCCCCTTAGTCTTAACCTCCATACATTTACAAAACCATTGCTAGATTATTCAGCGCCCAGCTCAGTGCTTGTTCACATGAATGTTGGCCAGACACTATGGGTTGTGTGGTTATTCACTTCCCCTTCCCTTTAATGAATACAATACTCTGCCTTCTTCACAGACTAGAGCAATGTGCAGCTATAAGTTTGGAGACTCTCATTCTAGTGCAGAGGTCAGTCCACAAATATTATCTGAGTGTCACCCATGTACCAGGCATGGAGGTGAACACTAGGGTTATGTGAAACAGTAACCGGGTGCTGGCCTTCAGGGAGTGGCACAGAGGGATGATCTCTCCATGCCTGTGGTGTCATCTCCCAGTCTCTCTCTTAGAGACCTGTGGGCATGAGAACCGGTAGCTGCGAGAAAATCGGGAGGCAGTGCCCCAGGATGGAGCATCCCTTTGCCTGGGTGATGACCTCCTTTTCCCTGGTGCTTGGTGAGGGGGTGTGCATGCAGAAGAGAAATGCCGCCTGTGTCAAAACTTAGGCCCTGGAGTTAAGGAGAAGTCTGTCCTTAGTTCACATAGCATCTGGAAGAGATAGAAAAGGGCTGTTTCCTAATTATCATTAACGTACGTTAAGCCAACGCTTGTGTGTATTTTTCTCTCCTTCATTCACTCAGGGACTTGAAAAAAAGTTGGTCTCCTCCACTTTCACTTAGTACCATGTCTGTTTGGCTTATTCCAAGAGCTGTTAGGCGCACTGCAGATACCACTTGACTCAGTCAGGATTGATAGCCCTGACTTATCGCTGTAGCACCTCAGAGGCATTAGGCTATCTCTCCACATCTAATTTAATTGCCCCACGCATTTATATTGGTTGACTAGTTTGCTGCAATCTGCAGAGTTGGATTGCTTAATATAGTTTCTTTGTTCTACTAATGACCTAAACTACATAATATGCTGATAAAGAGTCCCAAAATGTGCAATAAAAACTGACAACGACTGTATGTGCCTATTAAACTCCCTGGCCCTGGCGGCTGCTTTGCTGCGGCTCAGGAATGTCAGTGGACAAGTCAGACAGAAGGGGCTCGTTACTGTGCTGGCTGCCCAGACCCATCACCTTTATCTTTCCAGGAAGCAATGGCCTTCTGTTTGCTTCTTAGGAAAACTTCAACTTTTAGACATTTTGAATGGAAAAAACCCTAACTGATTTTTTTTTTCCTGAGTTTTTAATAATATGACTTAATGGGCTGCAGCTAGCTTCTTGGAAAGCAATCAAAACTGTCTTTTCAATAATGTTGGAAAACCTTTTCCTTTGACTGAAAATTAATGCCTTCAATTTTAGAAGAGCTCTACCTCAAGGTTTGTATTCAAATAAAGCCCCATATAAGTAAATGTCCTGGAGAATTGTCTGATGTCAGAAGGAAGCAGACAGATCTTAGCTCTTAAAATTGTTTAGATCAAATATAAAGAACAAATTATACTTGTAATTTAATTTCTCTCCTTATTTTTTTGTCATAATTTCAAAGATGAAGTACTTTTTAGATTTTTTTTTTGCTATAGCAATAGATTATCTATGATGTAAGAAAATTAACAGATTTCATTAGGATTATTTTAGGTTCATTGAAAATGGTTAAATCTTGCAGTGGGTAATTCTATTTTTTGCTTCTCTGGTGTCATTTTACATAGCTAGGCAGGCTTGAAATTTTTTTTTTGTATCAGTTTCTATCTATTTTCTTTAGAAAGAGTGAGATTGATGATAGACTTCCATTTGTACTGATAGGACCCCAATTAGGGTATTGGCTGCTCTGTTTCACTTTTGGGGATGGGAGTAAAAAGAAAACCCATTTGTGGTGTGTAAATGAAAAACATCAGTCCTCCATGTTTGACGTTGCTGGAGGTGAATGAAGATCATGCTTGCAGTGGTTGTATGTGTTTTGTGTGTTTGTAGTTTATTCCAGGGAACAGTGGACATTGTTTTAGGGTGTGAGGATACATTGGGCTAATTGTACCGTTTTAATCATTCAAAAGTTCTTTCTTTGTTCCTCATTTGCTCTCTGTGTCCAACTTCCACGCATGCCATTTTCCTCGTGGTACATGTTAGAACTGCTCCTGTTGTTTCTGTACTCTGTCTCATGTAGGTAAAATTAGCAATAGCATTGTATGCCAAGTGCTTTATCAGATGCATGAACAATTAAAAACTGAAGACATGATCTTTACCCTGCAAAAACTTGCAGCCATGTCTGTATTTATATATATTCATATTCAGGGTGTATGAATAATAGTGTATCTATATTATATAATTCAATGGGTTAGCATATAAAGAACGTCTATATAAAATTATACATGGAAACAATTCAGTACAGGACTTTAAGAGAAGAGATGATAAATGCAAACAGGGACACATCAGCCAAAATTTTCTTCTCTGCTGCTTTTCATCCCATCTTCATCCTAAAGATTCTAAAGGCCAGCGATTTATGGGGGGGAGAATATTTTCTGTCAGGACTACCTCAGAGCCTGGATAGTGTCCTCCATGGAGAAGAGATGAATGGTGCTTGGTGCTTGATCCAAGAGTCAGGTGCAAACTAAGATGAGATTTTTTCTACCCTGCCTTTCAAAATGCTTGTCCACCTTTACAATGTATTTGGTTTTCATGGCTCTCTTGTGAGGTGGATGCCAGTGGCGACATTCCCAAATTCCGAACTGAAAGCTGGGACTGTGGGATAAAGTGACCTTGTTGTGTTCTAACAGTGTTGTGAGTAGAAGATTTCTAGCATGTGCACTGTCCCTAGCTTGACCTGGCCTGATTGCTCAGCAGAGCATCCAAATGGTTGCTTCCATAATAGCCAAGAGTGTATCAGCTGGGTGAGCATGCAGACACTGGACTGAGACAGGTGTAAATGTTTAGGTCCTGTCTTGGCCACATGTTAGGTTTCTATGACCTTTGGCACATGGTGTTGACCTTTCTGAGGTGGTCAGAATAATAACAATCTCTCCGAGTTTCAGGGAGGATTAAATTAGCCCGTGCCCAGGGGGTACTGAGCCTAGTTACTGATGAAGAAATAGCACGGGCAAAAGCAGCACTGTGCTGCTCCAATTATAATAATTGGATGTCTCATATTTTTGCATTCAACTTCAAAAGTGTAGGTTTTAATACTCCCTTGGGAAGCACGTACACTAAAATTGGAATAATGCAGAGAAGGTTAGCATGGCACCTGCTTGAGGATGGCCTGCAAATTTGTGAAGTATTCTGTATTCTTCTTTTTGGAAAAAGCAGTATACTTTTAGAGTTTAAAGAACATTGGAATTCTCATGATTGGTTACATAGGAGAAAAAAAACACAACCAGGAAAGTATTACATCTGGACAAACAGAGGCAGGGATCCCAGTTATACTCTATCTTTTGATTCCTCACCCTTAAAGCATTCCCTACCATTCCTTCTTGTTCATGTTCATACATGGTCATCATAGGAGTTATTTTCTCCCTTATTCACAGCTTTCAATGTGAGCACACTAAAAACTTAAAGGGAGACGAATAGACTCTCAAAAAGATGGTGGGGGGTGGGGACGGGAACCTGTTGGAGGAAGAGTGGAATTTTCTTTTTTATTTTTTTTGCCTTTTCCTCATGTTTATTTTTATTTTTTAACAGTTATGAATTTATTTTTTAAATCATGTCTATTCTATTACAGTTGTCTCGATTTTTTCCCCCTTTGCCCTCCTCCACCCATCCCACCCCCACCCCTCACTCCCATAGTCAATACCCACACTGTTGTCCATGTCTGTGTGTCATTCATACATGTTCTTTGTCTAGTCCCTTTCCTTTCTTTCCACTGTTGTCTTCCTTCCCCATCCCCTCTGGTCACTTTCAATTCTGTTCCATGTTCCCATGCCTGCAGTTGATTTTGTTCATTGGTTTATTTTGTTGAATAGATTCCACTTATAGGTGAGATCATATGGTATTTGTCTTTCACCAACTGGCTTATTTCACTTAGCATAATATTCCCCAGTTCCATCTATGTTGCTGCAAAAGGAAGGAGATCCTTCTTTCTTTCTTTCTTTTTTTTAATGCAGATTGCTTGATTTTATTTATTTTTTTAAATGTCAAAATCCATTATAAAATATTAAAAATTTAAATTCATTATAAAGTCTCAGCAATTAAAACAACATGACACCAGCACAGAAATATTAAAGTAAATCAATGGAATTAAATGAGCATTATAGAAACAAATGTATATATCTAACAATGTAATATATGATAAAATTGATATTTCAAATCAATAGGAAAAAAAAAGGCTTATTCAACAAATAAGGTACATGGACCACTATTACTTTGAAATAAAAAAAAACATAGGGCCCTATTTCACACTTTATACAAAAAATATTCAGGTGAGTTAAAAATCAGTATGTAAAATCTAAGGACTTTTAGGAGAAAATACCAAATAATATTTTTCTTACCCTGAAGTAACATATTCAAACCCACAAGCTATAAAGTAAAATTTTGACAATATGGCTATATTAAACATTTAAGAGTATACAGTAATATACATATAAAAAAGTTAAAGGACAAGTTATAGAATAGAAAAGTATTTGCCACACATCTAAAAAAGGGTTAATTTTTTTTTTTAGGGAAAAATTCTACAAACATTTAATAAAAAAATGATAAAGAATACCAAAAAGTCATTTAAAACTTTTTAAGAAATAATAGAAATAGGCAAGAAATATACAAAAACAGGTTCAGTTTCAACAAATAATAAAGTAACAATTAACACATCATTGTCACAATTAGATTAATAAGTATAAAAATCTTGGCAATATCAAGTACTGGTGACTGTGAACGGAACTGGGTATTCATAGACTCTTTTTCTTCATCTCCTTAAAGCAGTCCCTTTAGCATATTTTGCAATGCTGGTTTGGTGGAGGTATATTCTTTTAGCCTTCTTTTGTCTGGGAAACTCCTTCTTTCATCTTCCATTTTAATGGAGAGCCTTGCTGGATAGAGCAGTCTTGGTTGCAAGCCTTTGCTTTTCATGATATGGAATATTTCTTGCCATTCCCTTCTGGTTTGTAGTGTTTCTGTTGAGAAATCAGCTGCTAGCCTTATTGGGGCTCCCTTAGAGGTTACTACCTGTTTATCCCTTGCTGCCTTTAGGATTCTCTGTTTGTCTTTGATATTTGCCATTTTAATGATGATGTGCCTTGGAGAAGGCCTGACTGGGTTCCTCTTGAATGGGGACCCTCTGTGCTTCGTGGACTTGTGTGACTTTTTCTCTCCTCCAATTAGGGATGTTTTTCATCAATACTCTTTCAAACAAATTCTCTATCCCTTCCTCCTCTTCTCCTTTGGGTATCCGTATTATACAGGTATTATTATGTTTCAGGTTGTCCTGCATTTCACTAAATGCTTTTTCACTCTTTCTGAGTCTTTTTTCATTTTCTTGCTCTTTTTGGGAGCTTTTTTCCTACCTCGTCATCCAGCTCGCTGATTTGATCCTCTGTTTCATCTAGCCTGCTTTTGATTCCTTCTACTGTGTTCTTTGATTCAGAAATGGTATTCTTCATTTCCTCTTGCCTCTTGTTGATAGTTTCTATGACCTTTTTCATGCTGATATAGTTTGGAGTAAGTTCCTTGTAGTTTCCCTGTAGCTTTTGGTAATTCTCTATGAGCTGACTGAGCTCATTGAGCTTCCTTAGAACCGTTGTTTTGAACTCAATATCTGATAGTTCACTTGCATCTATTTCATTTAGTTCTCTTTCTGGGGATTCCTCCTTTCCCTTTGACTGGGGAGTGTTTCTTTTTCTTCCCATTATTTGTGAGACTCTTCTTTTTTTGTTTCTGCTTCTAAAATTGATCTGTCTTGACTTCTTGACTTTGTGGAGTGAACTTCTATTGTAGGAGACCACTGTTGTTGTTGTTTTTTTCTTTCTGGATCTGCCTCTGATGATGTCAGATATTGACCCTGTATGCCTCAGGCAGTCTGTTTGAGACTTCCAGGAATGTACTGTCTGTGGATGTCTCCTTCAGTTGTTAATCTAGTCACTCTGCACTCAGCTGGCCAGTGTAGACGCCACAGGGCAGGGCAGAGTCCCTCCTGGGGGTGAGGTTATTGGGTCCTCTCACGCTGCTGCCACTCAGGGAAGTGGTCTGCCTGAGTCAGATGACTGCTGCCATATGTCAGCACCGGATCCTGCCAGCTACTCTTTCCCTTCTTTCCCCAAACCCTCTGTCTTCAATCTCTCCTCAAATGTCTCTAGACCACTCTGTGACCCCTTTAGCCAGGGAGCTATTATCTGTGGCTGCCACTCTGTACTCAGCCATAAGGCTTTAAGACTACTGGGCCAGGGCAGAGTCCCTTCTGGTGGCAGGGCTAGTGTGTCCTCCCTGGCTCTTGCCACTCAAGGGAGTGGCCTCCCTGAGCAAGATGGCTTCTGCCCTCTGGGGGATGAGTCAGCAATGGGACCCCACCTGCTACTTTCTCAATTCTCTCCCCAAAGCCTCCTTCCCCAGTCCCTTCTCTGCTGTGTATAGCCTACTCTGCCCTCACCTTTGCCGGAGACCAGGGTAAGTGGCTGCAAATAAAAATTTATGCATTGGCTCTTTAAAAGGCTCTTTGCATCTCCAGCTTCCCATCTCTGGCAGAGATCAACTTTACCTTTCTTCACAGCTGGCTGTTATCTGTGTACTTTTTGGGCTCTGGTGCTGTAGGCTGGAGATCCTCACTTATGGTTTAGACCCCGCTCTTCTTAGAGGGATCCAACTGGCTGTGTACATATCCTTCTGGTGCTGCCACACATGGGCACCCCACCCACCTTCTCGAGTCTGTACCACACCCCTTACCAGTTAGGTTGTGCTAAAGCTGATTCTTCTGTCTGTCCAATGTTATAAAGTTTCTCTCTCGCTATTGTTCAGTTGTTTGTTCCCGGTGATTTATCCACAATTTAGTTGTAATTCCAGATTGGTCCTGAGAGGAGGTCCGTGTGACTTCCATTCACTCCTTCGCCATCTTGATTTTTCGAATTTTCTTAGCAATCCCCCATAGTACCCTAAAGGCTTTCCCCGCATTAGTTATTATAACCTTGCACCCCAGGTCACAGCATCTGGTTCTATCTTGTAAACTCTGGGTGTTGGTCATTTTATAAAAAGAAAAAAAAAAACAATTTCTGCAGTTTCATGGGGCATCATGCATGCTTTTCTTGCCTTCATATCATAGGAGCCCAAATGAAGGTCTGAAATGCAGTTGTCACTTTCCCTTTGAAACTGGGTCACTCTGATATAAGTGGGTTATAGGACATTTTTGTTACATTGCTTGAAAAAAATTGTAACACTAAAGATACCACTTATTCAGATTCTATGTATCATGTATACCAATTCAATTTAATGACATATTGTGTGTATGTGGGTATGTGTGAGAAAGAGAGAAGATTTCCACTGAAACTTTGCTTGCTATGAAAGTGCTCTAGCTGCCCCATCACATTTCCTTAGTTGACCCTGAATTTGGTTTATGACTCCCATTTTCAGCTACAGCCTGCATCTAATTACAAGGCATCTCTTGCTTTCTCCATTGCTATGGAATGAGAAACAAAAGCCTCTGCATAAAGCTCGGAGTCCCTGCTATATGTGCTCCTGAGCATCTTCCTTCTATTTCTCAAGTTTCTTGGCTGGAACTTTCTTCATTCTAGCTTTGCTCTTGTCCTGGCCCCAACCCAAGTGGTTGTGCATCTCACTAGCTCTGGTCTGGATCTCCTTTCTAAGCTCAGTGGTAGGCTCTCTGTCTTGAGGACTGCATGGTCTCATTCACTGGTTTGTTGCAGCTGCCGGCCAGGTGAATGTTGCAGGTGTTAGTAGCATCGACCCCATCCATCAAACTCCATGAACAACAAACTTGATTTGAGGTCATGTTTGTTACTTAGAAAAGATGGCAGCCTGATACACGTGTCTTTCCATGTAGTAATTACTCTGAAAAGTATAGCTACCAGGTGGGTTTGAAGGTTGAGACTTGGGCTTCTCTGAACAGGCATTAAAATGAACTAATGCTCTTTCTCTCTCACTTTCTTTGATCAAACTGCAAGATGATCATTATTCACAGAGTATGATACGTGTGTTCTTGAACCTGAAATGGAAATAATTATAATTAAGAAGAAGGAGCAAGAGAGCTGTGTTTAACATAAAAAGAAAACCCATTAAAAAACTTATTGTGTTTGGTGCTATGGGATGTAAAGATGAGTAAAGCAAATCCCTAACACAAGATAGCTCATAGCCTAG